AGGGGAAGGGGAAGGGGAAGGGGAGGAAAGGGAAGGAAAGGAAAGGAAAGGAAAGGAAAGGAAAGGAAAGGAAAGAGGATCCTTCTTGCACCTTGCTTTGCAAAGCAAGTCTCCATGGCACTTCACAGTAAGACTGGTTTTGACACGGACTACTGTTGCAATGTCAATCAATGTTACATCAATTTTTTAAAGAATAAAAAAGTGGAAGGTAAGGGAGGGGAAATCAAGTCACAACATAGTGGCTGTTGCGATTTGGTTTTACAGAGATTGTCAAAAATTTCCCTCAAGTAAATGAAGCTGAAATTGTTCACTCGGTTGTGCTAAAATAGGCAAGTGCTAATATCTCTTTGTTCTATAAAATAGACCTTAATAGGAACATCAGAAAAAGTAGACAGCTTGATAAAATGTCTAGCCTGTAGAATGCTATTAAAGTTGTTACGAGGGAGCAAAACAGAATTTCATGTCAAATCAAATTGTCCTGAGTTGCAAAAACTATATCATGAATATGATTAGAGAAGGCAATTGTGAGCTCTCAAAATACATGTAACATCAGAATATTATTCCCTGCCTGTATAAAAATAACAAATGTGCATCTATGTGCTGATGAGAAACACCAGGTCCCTAGTCAGATACAATAGTAAAGACCTCTTTAGGAGCATGGAGGGCTATGTGTGGTCTGCCAGGGCTTGCAATATGTATTAAATGTTACTGAAATTTTTGAGAACTATAGAATCAAAGGTCAAATCTAAACTGTGTTATATGGGTCTACAATAACTAAACTTCATTATTTGGCAGCACATATCCAGCCATAGAATTGGAAGAAATCCCGAGGGCTATACAGTCGAACCCCATCCTGCCACAGAGGAATACATGATCAAAGCACTCACAGCGGATAACCTAGTCTCTTTTTAGAAACCCACTGCCATTTCATTTCTAAAGTGTTTCTAAAGTATCATTAGTAAAAATTTCAAGAGTAACTATATTTTGTTACTTTTTCGTTATAGTAATTGAGGAAGTGGGGAAACTTCAGGGGCTCCTTTCTCCCTCATTTTTACAGCTATTGGGGTGAAACTTGCTAAGATGGTAGAAAACATTTACCAGTTAGCCCATCAAGTTTCAGTGCATTTCACTTATCCACAGATTTTTGGAGAATTTTCAAATTTTTTATAAACAACATTTTTATTAACCAATATAACTTCAATTTTGAAATTTATTCCTAGCCCAGCACAGACATTTACTTACTAGAAGTATCAGTCAGTCCTCCTCTTTGCAGATTCAACAATTTATTGCAATTCTGGCTGACTACTGCTATGGAGGGACCAATCTCTCTCCCATCCTGATTGGGGCTTTCTGATGCTGAGCAGAATTCTGGGGAATGTAGTTTATTTATTTATTTATTTATTTATTTATTTACTCTATTTGTATACCGCATATATCAGCCTGAGGCGGCGACTCAATGCGGTTTACAATAAAAAGCAACACTAAACAATGTATGAGACACACAATACAGACAAACACATAATCATCAACGCCACACTTAGAATCAGATTCCGATCTCAAGATCCTTTTTCCATTCCTTGTCCGATGCCGTCATTATTGAGTTAGTTGCCGAAAGCCTGCTCGTAGAGCCACGTCTTCACCCTCCTCCGAAACACCAGTAACGAAGGGGCCTGCCTGATGTCCACCGGTAACGCATTCCATAGCCGAGGGGCCACCACCGAGAAGGCCCTGTCTCTCGTGCCCGCCAGCCGCACTTGTGACGCCGGCGTAACCGAGAACAGAGCCTCCCCGGAAGATCTTAACGCTCTTCCCGGTTCGTAGGAGGAGATGCGTTCGGAGAGGTAAGTGGGGCCG